GCTACGCTCACAGTTTAAACTTTTGGTCCGTGGACCTGCATTTAAGGATCCAAGGGGACCATCGAATAATTTATTTGTAAGAAAATGGAAAGCGAAATCTTTTGTTTCTTTTATTTCGACAAAGCTTTGTTTGCTAATCCTTTATCAAACTGCTATTAGCAATGAGACAACATTAATTGCTGATTCGCTAACTGTACTGAATGGCTAAGCTTATATATCTTTAAATGAGTCTTTTCGCGTAGTTGAGGAGATGTCATCTGCTGTTATCATTTTCATTTCTCTCGTGCTAATCTTTTTTTTTTCGTGCTAATCTTTTTTTCTCATGCTAATCTTGTGAGGTAGTTGAGGAGGTGTCATCTGCTGTTGTCATTTTCAATTGTTTTGTTCTAATATTGTGAGGGAGAATACAAAATTTTTTGTTCGATGGAACGAGCTTATTTGTTCGGATAAATTTCAGAAGATTTTATCCGAATTAACCACTTTTACGAAAAATATTCGTTTATCTGTAGACCTCTTTGCATGCTTCCATCGACTCTCTTAGGACTCATCTATTTTTATGAGTACATAAACATCCCCCTTATGTTTTTTAGTATTTAAAGTTTCATTCATATTTTTTTTGTTTAGGTTGTTGGTCTTGAGAGTGGAGACCCAAACCTATAATCAAAATTAACAATCGCATGAAAATTCAAGACAGGTCATAGGTGTGATGTCTGTCACACCCTGGTGTGGCAGAGTCTGACCTGTCTGCCATGGGTGTGGTGTGGCAGACTCGTTTTAGAATTCTAATATGTTTAGGATTGTGTTTGTTATAAATAGAAAGACGTCCCTCAAGGGTTTAACAGAGAAAAAGAGCACGAAAAAAGAGGATTTTTTAGGGCTCTTTGAGATTATAAATCTTAGAGAGAGAGGCCAATTGCAAGCATTGTAATATTCTTCAAGTAATCAAAGAATTGTGCGGTGTGACTCCCGAGGACGTAGGCACGTTGCCGAACCTCGTTAAATCTGGTGTGTTCTTTCTTGTTCTTATTTCTTGCAAGTTTTCATCTTTGATTTGTGGAGAATTTCTTTCTTGCTCAACTCTCAAACACAAGATCCGGAAGGGTACGGATTCGATTTGATTGTTTCGAATCCCCAACAACTGGTATTAGAGCTTCGTTCAGCAAATTTGTGAGAAAGAGAGCCATGACAGAGGAAATCAAATCTAAGATTGAGAAGTTTGACGGTTCA